AAGTCAAAAGCAGTGAACAAGATATCGATAAACAGATTCAAACAAATGTATCAAATACTGAAAGCAATGGAGGAAATCAGAGTCAAATACTGAAAGCAATGGAGGAAATCAAAGTGGTCGAGAATTTTTCTTTTTGTAAGAGCGTCGACAATTTCTTTTTCGAGTTTAGCTTTTTGGCCAGTTGAGAGACCATTTTTGAATTTCATTCGAAACTTTTCGCGATCAATAATCTACGCGAGCAAATGAGAAGGGATGATGAAAAAAAGTAAAATGTTCTTGGCTCCAAATATTGAGTTCCGTAATAATTTTGACCATTATGGTTTATTGTGAAAGCAAGATATACGTATGGTCCATCACTAACAACGCGAATCATGGATTTGGGAATGAACAAAACCAGTGTTAGGAGCCAGTAGTTTTGTGAGTTGATGGTGGACGTGAGCTATTTGCAACATAGATACGACTAAAAACTTCCTTTAACTATTAGACACTCATGAAGATCGTTATCGGTTGCCAATGAGATTCACCGACGTGATAAAACCCTGAGACTGATAAGTAAAGACTTAAATTGAGACATTGATCCTGAAGCCCTGATAAAATGAATGATAGAGTTATTTACCCATGAAAACCAAATAACAAAGGAAAAATCCCTTCGGGCAAACTAAGACATCGACTGCTTCTGAGGTCAAAAGAAGGGGAAAGAATACCCATCCCTCGCGTGGAATGAAACTTTAACCTTGTTGTTCGCGAATTGTTTTTCACATGTGCAATTGATTGACTTTCTGCATCGTCACACCATTGACAAATCACTATTCCAGTTGCTTCTATGGTGGAGTTTATTACAAATGACTTTTTATCGACAATCCCATCACTTTTTTCAATACTTTCCTCTAAATGTTCAGTCAACATTCGCATCTCGTGGACCGTTCAGTCTGAAGGCTGCTTCCATTACATCTTTTCCCGCCATACCTCGGACGTGGATCGTCACACAGCCTCCTTCTGGCGCGAAGGCCAGGTCCACAAGCTCGAGTACAAGAAGACCAAGAGCTCCAGCGGCCCCAATGGCCATGAACGGGAGCTGAAAAATCAAAACGAGAGGACGATGTGTACAATGTCCGATAACATTATAGACTAGAGTGTGTGTGTGTGTGTGTGTGTGTG